AAACGGAGATTCGAGGAAGGTCAATGCCAACATGGCTGTTCTTAATAGAATCCAGCTGACCCTGGGGAGACAGAGGGAGGAAACAGATGAATGGGTAAACAAAATGTGGTGTACACACACAAAGAAATATTACTGAGCCTTAAAGAAAGGAAATTCGTCCAGGCACGGTGGCTCATGCCTATAATCCTAGCACTTTGGGAGGCCTGAGGTGGGTGGAGTTCGAGACCAGTCTGGCCCACATGGTGAAATACCGTCTCTACTAAAAATACAAAAATTAGCAGGGGATGGTGGCACACGCCTATAATCCCAGCTACTCGGGAGGCTGAGGCAGGAGAATCACTTAAATCCAGGAGGCAGAGGTTGGGTTGTTTCTACCTTTTGGCTATTATGAATAATGCTGCTATGAAAATTGACATACAGGCCAGGCGTGGTGGCATATGCCTGTAATCCCAGCACTTTGGGAGGCTGAGGCGGGCAGATCACTTGAGGTTGGGAGTTAGAGACTAGCCTGACCAACATGAAGAAACCCCATCTCTACTAAAAATAGAAAAAATTAGCCAGGCGTGGTGGCACATGCCTGTAATCCCAGCTACTTGGGAGGCTGAGGCAGGAGAATCGCTTGAACCCAGGAGGCAGAGGTTGCTGTGAGCCAAGATGGCGCCACTGCACTCCAGCCTGGGCATCAAGAGTGAAACTCCATCTCAAAAAAAAGAAAGAAAGAAAACTGACATACAAATATCTGTTCCAGTCCCTGTTTTCCATTCTCTTGGATACGTATGTAGGAGCAGAATTGCTGAGTCTGAAGGTAATTCAATATTCAAAATTTTCAGGAACTGTTTTGTAGAAACTATTTTCCGCATGGGTTTCCACAGTGACTTCACCATTTTACATTCTCAGCAGCAAAGCACCTAGGGTTCCAATTTCTCCACATCCTCTCAACACATATTATTGTCTGCTTTTTCATAATAGCTGTCCCAGGCAGTGTGAGTTATGGCTTTTATTTCCTCCAGGCTATTTTGCATCAAGTGGTCAAGGACCCTCTTGGTAATGCACCATTAACTTGACTTTGACTCTTCACCCCACAACCAGCTGACTTGGCTGTCATCTCCCGATATGAAAATCCAGTTGGCTTAGCCAAGCATGCAGATGAACTCTTTTGGGGTCTGGTGTCTACCTCTGGTCCAGTCGGCTCTGGCCAGAGGGTTGACGGGAGGTAGTCCATGAGGCTTCCCTTTCCAGGGATGTGGTGAGTGGCTTTCTAGACAGGATTACTGGGGTAGGCAAGGGCAGACTTGTGTAGCGTAGACCCATGGACACAATGCTGGGCGGGACACATGTTTTCTGTAGTTTGATGACAAGGAACTGGCCATCAGAAACGAGTTTGTCCACACACCAAGAGGGAAGGCATCTCCTATAAACTTGAGTTAATCAAGTTCTCCATCCCCAGAATAGCTATCAGAATGTTCTTTTTTCTTTCACTCTTTCTTTCCTTCCTTCCTTCCTTCCTTCCTTCCTTCCTTCCTTCCTTCCTTCCTTCCTTCCTTTCTCTCTCTCTCTCTCTCTTTCTCTCTCTCTCTTTCTTTCTTTCCTTTCTTTTCTTTCTTTCTTTTTTTTCAGATGGAATTTTGCTCTTATTGCCCAGGCTGGAGTGCAATGGCGCCATCTTGGCTCACTGCAACCTCCACCTCCCAGGTTCAAGTGATTCTCCTGCCTCAGCCTCCTGAGTAGTTGAGATTACAGGCATGTGCCACCATGCCTGGCTAATTTTTTTCCAGTAGAGACAGGGTTTCTCCATGTTGATCAGGCTGGTCTTGAGCTCCTGACCTCAGGTGATCCACCCACCTTGGTCCCCCAAAGTGCTGGGATTACAGGCGTGAGCCACCATGGTCTGCCCAGAATGTTTATTCGTTTCCAGTGAGAAGCAGGTGGGCCAAGAGGAGAGTCATCAGTAGGGGCAGATCTGTGCAGGTTCCCAAGCAGTCCTGCCTTACAGGAAGCTCGATTTTAATCAGAGACTGTGGTGAGGGTGGCATCAGAGCAAGGGATGCCGGGGGACTGCCCATCCCAGGGACCAGAAGCCAGGAAACCCTCAGCTCAGTCAACAGCTGGCTTTTTGTGTCTCCTTTATTGGTGCTCTTGGATGGCAACTCTTGACAGTCAGATACCAACCCCTCTTTGAGATTCTGATAAAAAGCCACGGACTCACTAAAACCCCACATAAGCACCTGGTTTTGCATGCAGTGTTATGGCTTTTAGACAATGCTATGTGTCCACCAACATTTCCCTTTCCTCCTGGGCATGCAGGCACATCGCATTTCCCAACCTTCCCTGGGGTTAGTGAGGGCACAAGACTGAACTGAGAGGGAAGAAATGATGGACACCACTCCCAGACCTGGTCCCTAAAACCTTCCTCACCGTCTTCCACTCTTTCTCTCTTCTCCCTGTCGGCCAGATGCAGAGGACCCAGGGAAGGACTCTAAGCCCTCCCAGCAAGCAGAGGGGTGAGTCCAAGCACCCGAATGACGGTATGGACCCTAGGCTCCCACCCAGAGCCAACCTGTGCTGCACTGTGACCGAGTAAGAAGGAAAGATGTGGGCCAGGCACAGTGGCTCACATCCGTTATCCCAGCACTTTGGGAGGCTGAGGCAGGCAGATCACCTAAGGTCAGGAGTTCAAGACCAACCTGGCCAATATGGTGAAACCCTGTCTCTACTAAAAAA